CTATTCCACTGCACCGTCAGTTGTGGCTTCCTGCTGAACATACCTGTATCAAAATAGCCACCAAGCATTCATCACAGCTGATGAACTACTCACAGGAATTATGTAAGCAGCTTCCATGCGGGAAGCGCCTCTCTCACGTGAAAACCGTTTTGATCTGTTAATATCCCTGATCAAGCAAATGCAGAGGGGACTTGTGGGAAAGTATATTCAGTACTTGTGAACAGCTGCAGATACTGCCAGCTAAGGCTTCTGTTATTCTTATCTATCATCATCATTTATTAATTTATCGATTGCCTTTTACACACATCTCAAGGCAATTTGCAAACACACCATAAAACAAGTAAAAACTACCCCCACTGATAGCCTCCACTGTTTGCAAAAGAGAAAAGTCATTAACTGAATTAATATCTTCCAAGGGGTGGTCATGTAAGAAACGGTATTTCCATTAGCGTGCCGGTCTGTTTAACTGGCACAACAATGAGCAGCTGCAACGCATTGCACAGCAGCAGCAGCAACAGGAAGTTGCGAGACCCGTGAAAAGGCTACTTGCCCACATAGACACAACATCTTTTCCAGATTGTCCCGTCACAATTACCTGCATGGAGCTGTGCAATATTCAACTACAGTGGTACCTCGGGTTAAATACTTAATTCGTCCCGGAGGTCCGTTCTTAACCTGAAACCGTTCTTAACCTGAAGCACCACTTTAGCTAATGGGGCCTCCTGCTGCTGCCACGCCGCCGGAGCACGATTTCTATTCTCATCCTGAAGCAAAGTTCTTAACCCAAGGTACTATTTCTGGGTTAGTGGAGTCTGTAACCTGAAGCGTCTGTAACCTGAAGCATCTGTAACCCGAGGTACCACTGTACAGAGGAAGCACAAGCACAACAATATTGCTGCAGGTGGGTGGTTGTGATCAGGGTTCACTAGTTTGCTTTCCATAGATCCAATTAGATCTTTCTCCAGCTTTCCACTCACTTGTCCATCTCCGTGCATTTGTATCGGGATCCCTTGACACAACCTACATGCAACGTAGCCATTTCACAGAGGAGCTGCGAGACGAGCAATTTCTCTGAAGCATTCTGTTGAGGACAGAACCACGCAACTGACACAGGACCACTGCTATTTTTCTAGAAGAAGAGGTGCCGAAACTCACCACAAACGCCTCTCTTATAATGGGAATGGCACCCACTGAGAGGTGCCAAAATTGAGTCTTGGCTGGGGAAAAAGCCCTGCCTAGCTCTGCAAAGTGTGACGAAGGCTGAAGAAGTCACAAGTGTCTGGAGCTAAAGTGATTTGGAGATTGTTGCAAGGATGGCACTTAGTGAGCGTAAACAGAATTGTGTTTGTTTAACTCTTCCAAAGGCCGAGACCTGAAATGTTTAGTAGCATTTCAGTAATGTCAAGGGCAGTAGAATGTGGACAGTAAATTTGAACACCAGATATGAAGAGCTGAGAGAGGACCAGCAATTCAGAATTGTAAGATATTCCTCCCTGTTGTGCGGGGAGGGAATGCGGCAAAACAGAACCCAAAGATGAACTACTGTTGAAATGTATAAAGTCAGTAACTATCTAGGCTTGATGCACCCATCTCAGGCTACAGCTGGAATCAAGCAGTTCCAATCACCCCTGTGTCTCAGAGATGACTCTCCACGATGATGCTGTTTCAACCCAGAGCACAGAATGGATGGAAAAGGGACCAAGAGGCTCCGAATGTGCTAAATTCAAATATACCTTTTTCCTATTTTTACTGGTATGTCAAGTGATCCATGTCTTGCCAAACTACAAGGGAACGAGAAAGACCCAAGGAAATCTTTCAAGAATGAGAGTTATAAGCAAGTATAGACTCCTGTGCTGTGTTTTCCCTCTGTTAGTTTCAAGCTGTGGTTACACAGAACAACACCAATGCTGCCTTCTCTCTTCTTTCCCCAGGAAATACGTTAGCAGGAAGAGCCGGTGGTGATGGTTTGATCCTGCTTCCCTGTCTGCTTGTCCAGTTTTCACTACAGATTCCCAGCCCCCACCCCCTGCTCTGACTGTACTTTTTAAAAATGTATTAAAAAGAGGGAGGAAAAAACAGCCTCTTTAATCCATATTTCCTAAAGCCCTCTAAATAAGCATCACATAAGTACTTATTTAGGAAAATTATTTAAAAGGGAGATTATGAGCCGAAAGGATTGGGAAGTCACTGCTGCTATGCTGAGGGTGGTCAGCCCCAAGGCATTTCAGAGCTACTATATTCCCTCTTCAAACAAGGCAGAGGCCGTGGGTGCAGGGAATAAATTCAGGTGGAAGCAAATCTTGGCCTATGTCCCCACCGCCACCTTCTGAAATGTGGGATCAGATTTGGATCTTGGTTCTGAAATCATAAGAGATTTTTGCTACTGGACGCAATGGAAGGGCAACTTTTTCACCTCTGTGAAGCTCAAGGAAAATGACGGCTGATGGCTTCTTGAGAAAGCCCTCAAAACCCAGTACTGCGTATTTCTCTTTCCCAGGAGGAGGAAGAACATCTACCTTATCACAGCTCCCAACATTTTGCATGCAAAGCTCTGTTTGTAGGGAACACCTTTCAAGCATATTGTTTTATAATATACATAGGCAAACCTGTCGCAGCTGTATTTTGTTGGTGCTGCCGTAAACAGTAAATTTTGTTGGTGCTGCATTTGCCAACACACACACACACATACATTGTGGATTGCTAAAGAGTACACAGAGAAAGGTGGAAGAGAAGAAGGAAAACCCCAAGAACAGCAGCAAAGAGTTCCAGTGGAAATGAATGGAAACTGAACAGATCCTTCCCTTGTATATCCATGGAGCTTGCAGAAGAGAACCTCCTGGGTGCCCCCTCTTCACCTCCAGTAGGAGCAGAGTTTCCAGTTTCTAATTCCAAAGGCGGTGAGACTAACCCTATCCCTGACAGCGCTCAGGCTGCGGGTGAAAACATTCCGATTCTGCATAGCTTTTAATGCATCTTTAATATATGAAAGAAGGTTTTAACTCTGCTTTTCCCCCCCCATGTTAAGGTTTCAGTTTTCATTTTTTTACTTGACGGTATGATTTGTTCTTCTTTTCTTTTTTTAATGGTATGATTCCCCCCCCCCATTAAAAAAATATATATCCAACCAACCTGGAGAATATTTCATTTTAGATTCAGTTTCTTTCTCGCCACTCATATCAAGTCATGGCAGGTGGTTATGGAGAACAAAACGGCCTTATTTATAAACCTCACTTTACTATCACCTTCCTCTCCTCCCAAAACGTATCTCCAGGTAACACACACAACTGTCAGTGGAAATTATTTTAACTCCCCTTAATTTTGTGGATGATGAAAATTCCTTAAAATATCTGTACGTTTAAATCTACCTGCTATCTGTGTGAGAGTTATATTTTGTTTATTTACTACTGTTATGTGTTGAAAATAAGCTCAAGGGGGTTACCCCCCCCTTTCTATTTTATCCTCACAACAACCCTGTTAAGTAGGCTAGGCTGAGAGACAGTGACTGGCCCAAGGATGCCCAACTTGGCTGGGTTGTGATTTGAACCCTGGTCTCCCAGGTCCTAGCCCCATAATCTAACCACTGCACTGCACTAACCAAAGCTACAAACTTTTAAAAATCCTAAATTTGAGGATGGAGTGAAGCACAGGTTTCCCTCCTCCACGATTGAGATTCTGATGTCTTTTAACTGGGCTAGAAGGATCACTTGCGTTATAATGATCCCATTCCAGGAAACAACCCCACCGCCAAGTTTAAGAGAATATAACTAAAGGAAGGGAGGAAAGTTAGTTAGAACTGGGTAGCAGGGAATAGTGCACGTTGTTGTTATACAGAGGACAAAGTGGAAAACTGAGATTACAGAACAGAAGGAGAAAAAGGAACAGGGGGAGAGACTCAGGAGAATCTACTTCTGTAGCGCTTCCAAGGATACTTGAGGAGGGGAGAAGATGATGATGGTGATGTAATTCTTCCCCTCAGGAAGGTACTTCCATGACATGCCACACTCTGCCCCATTATCCTGTCTGACTTTTTGTTCCTCTACCCCCAAAAGGTCTCCCTCTCTCCCCCCCCCAAACTTCCGGATGCGCATGAATAATCGCCACACACACACACACACAAAAACTTCGCTCCCAACAGCTACCTTTCCTCTAAGACCCCGATGCTCTAATGTATGTCCGCCTTATTAGTAGAAACCGTATTATTCATAGCATTCTTATGTAATTTCCCCCTTTTCTCCCCTTTGCTCCTCCCGCAGCAACAGTTGGAGACGGGGCGGGAGGGAGGAAGAGCGTTATCAATACCAATTAGAACCCTAATCGTTTGTAGACAAATGCCAGAAGCCCAGGAGGAACATGGAGGGGGGAGAGAGGGAGAGAGGACCATTTGTCACCGGGACAAGACTCCCTCCCCTCCCGGGCTCCGGCTCAGACACGCAAGAAGGAAGAAGGGAGGGAGCGAGGCAAAAAAATGCAGCTTAAAAAGGTCGCATATGGATTAACCAAAAATAAATGCAAAGTGTCCTGCCTGATGCGATGTTACGCAAGGTGCTGGAAGGGGGGTGGGGGGGATGTAAAAATACCGACACTCGGCGATTTAGGAGGGGAGAACAAGCGAGCGCCAAAACACACACACACCACACACACCAGCCAAACTCTCTTGCCTTCCAACCAAGCCAACCTTGGTGTTTCGTGGAAACGTTCCCAACACGACCCGGAGGGTGGATGGATGGGAGCTGCTTTCAGAGTGAAGGCGAGAGAGAGGGATAGCAAGGAAAGGGAGTTGTTTTTTAAAGGGGGGGCGAGTTCTTCCTTGGGGGTGCAGAACTTGGGGAAAGCGCCACGGACTTGGCGCTGCGCAAAGCCCTCCAGGAACAACTCCAGGCTTGACATTGACAAGGTGGCCGCGGGATGGGCGCCTCTCGGGTTACTTACTAGCCAGACGCCGCTGTTGCTGCTGCGGCGGCGGCGGCGGAGGGAGAAGTAAACAAACCGGGGCTACTTACTAGAGGGCAAGTGCGGCGGCGGAGGGCTGCATCCCCTGGTCTCCGGGGCACGTCTGGGCTCCTCGCGGTCTCGGGAAGAGGAGGGTGCTGTCGGGGGTCGGCCCCCCGGTCCGCTCGCCAACCCTCTGGCGGCTGGCTGGGCGAGGCATAAGCGACCCTCGGCTCCTTCTTGCGCGCGTCCTCTCCCGCCTTCCCTGTCGCCACCACGGAGCCAGACGAGTGGCGCGAAGGGCTCTCCGTGGCTGCCTGGCGGGGGTCACCAGCGTATCCTTGCAAGGAGTGGGGACGGCAGGGACGGGGCCGAGGGATCCCAACGGCTTTGGAGCGAGGGAGGTGGCGAGATCCAACTTGGGCAGCCGGCGGCGGCTAGCAAGGCGAAGGGCTTGCCCTCCGTCGAGGGTCGCCCTTGGAGGAGACGAGACGGCCGCGCGTCCGGGGTGCCAGCAAGCGCCTCCTTCCCGCCCGCTTCATCGCCCTCCGCGGCTCTTCTCCATCTCCGCGGCCGAGGAGGAGGAGGAGGAGGAGGCGGGCGGGACGGCGGAGAGGATCTTAGACAGCAGCAAGGCTGCGCAGGGCGCTGGCACAAAGATGGGGCAGATGTCCTTCCGTGCGCGCGGGGCCGCCCGGGCTGCCATCCCCTCCCCTCCCCTCTAACCCGGCCTGAACCCTCCTGCAACTTGGCGCCTAGGCGCTGGGCCAGCCAGTCCCAGGAGGGGGACAGGTGGCTCCGATTAAAGCTGCCTCGCTCCGTCTGCGCGGGCACCGCTCCCAGTTTAGGGAGAGGGAGGGCGCTCGGGGCGGGAAGCGGGCGAGTGGCCTTGGCCTCCGCTCGCCCGGTGGCCTCGGTCCGCCTCTCGATCGCGCCCCTTCCCCAGAAAGGACGCGCAGGGCAACCTCGCCTTTAAAGAAGCGGCGCCGTCGGAAGACCGAGGTGTCCCCACGTGCGGCGCCCATAGGCGGCCCGAAGAGGCAGAGGGTGCCTCGTAGGCTCTAAAGCACCCAGCACGCACCCAAGGTTGGACCGGGAGAAGCCAGGCGGATCCCCGCGCGGAACACACCTGCGAGCTAATCGGCGGAGTGGCCGGAGGAGCCCTCGCGTGCTCGGCGGACCGCCCGCGCTCCCCCGACGCTCAGCCGCCGCTGCCTCCCTTCTTCTCCCCAAGCTCCAGCCGGCAGGAGCTCGCCTGTGCCCTTCGGCTGCCCACCTCCCCTCCTTCTTCCCGCCGCTCCTGCCATGCTCTGCTACCCGCCGCGCCTCGAGCCCACGCTCTTCCCTGCTCCCCAGCCAAGAGCTTGGCGTCCCACCAAGGTCCTCTTCCGCAGCCTGTCCCTTTAAGGGCGCTCGGACCCCGGCCCTTAAGCAGGGCGCCGTGGGAGGGGCCTGGAGGGAGGGGGAGCCGCCCCCGCCCCTCCTACGCAAAAGAGAGGAGGCGGAGAGCGCCGAAGCCTTCGGAGTCAGGAGCCTCCAGCTGTCGCCTGGACCCCATCAGGGCTAAGGGTCACGTGGTCAGGAGGCTTTTAATTTGGAACGTGGGGGGGGCAAACGAACGGAGTCAATGGGCAGGGGAGATGCTTTGCCATTAGTTTGTTAGTAGGAAAGACAGAAGGCTTTGGTCCCTTTACCAACTCTGATGAAGCCTTGTTTGCATGGCATGCACCCCACACACGTCACAGTATTCGCATCCTCAGGACTAGTGCCATGGGCTCTTCTTCTTGGTAAAGGTAAAACGGTTCCATCAGCGCCTCTCTCTGCATTGGGTGCGAGGAGTTGGTGCCCACCCACCCTTGTTAGACTCCAACTCCTACCAGCCCCAGCTGGCATGGCCAGTGTGGTCTGGGATTGTAGGACTGGATAGCCCAGGAAACTTTGGAAAGCCATGGCTTCCCCATCTCTCACTTAAGGGTTGAGAGCACAACAGCCTGGCCAGGGACAATTCTTGCCTCTTTAGCCATATACATGCTCTTGGGGAAGTTGCCTGGCCTCTTGCTGATTCCTGTAACTCTGATGCAGGTTGTACCTGGCAGAGAGTGCTCTTCTCAATCAGTCTGGGTATGGATGTGACCACAACTGAGAAGACTGGTCACATTGCAGGCTGGCAGAACCTAAGCAAGCCTCCTCCATCCCAATCATACACCACCTTTGTTCTGTTTTATTGGGGAGGGGGCTATGGTTTCTACACCTTGCAGGTTTTGCAGGTGAATCTTGTGAGACACTGGTGGGAAGTGAGCTAAAACACTCAGATATTGTTTAAATCAACACATCAAAAAACTGAAGGCCAGTTGCCTCAACACGAAGGCTCCCGAGGCTGGTCTTGTGACATGTAAAATAATTAAACTGGGGCAAGATGACAAGCTTGTTCTTGGTTTTTCTAAAACCACATGGCCAATTATGTACCAGCTTGGACCTGAAAAAATGTGCAGGATGAGCTTTCTGTGCCAGAGACTCTTCGTCAGGAGACTACTGTTTTCCCCACTACAGAGAAGCAGTCTGTTTAGCTGGGGCAGTAGAGTTCGTGGCATCCTATGTTCATAAATCATAGAATTGTAGGGTTGGGAGGGACGCTGAAGGCCATCTATTTCAACCCCCTGCAATGCAGGAATATGCAGCAGTCCCATACAGGGATCGAACCTGCGACCTTGGTATTATCAGCACCACACACTAACCAACTATCAAGCATACATCTGAGCTATTCATTTCTCCCAGGCCTCCACAAGCTGCCAAGCTTATATTGCCAGTGGTATGTGGGACACTGGGGTGGCAGTCCAGGGCTCCATTCAGCAGAAGTAGTAGGATGGTCCCCACAGGGCCAGCCAAAGATGTGTTGGCACCTGAAGCAAACCACAAAATGGCACATACCCCCCTCTCCCCCAGGGAAAAAGAGGTGAGTGAAGAACTATGTCAGGAACAAGGGGAAATAAAGATTCTGCCACCCGAGTCAGTCACCACACTTTGCCTTATTAACATCCAGAATCTAACATTATCCATTTGCATGGCATGGCTGCAAATTACAATGGAAGCCCCAAGCAATTTTGCTTGAGAGAGGAACACAATGGCTGGCATGCAACGAAGCTTTACTCAGAGTAGACCCACTGAAATGGCAAACTTTGGTCCATTAATTTCAGTGTGTCTACTCTGCACAAAACTTTGTTTAATATCACCCAGTGAACTCCCACCTCCGCCATGCTCTTTAGCTTAAATATGAAATTTAATAAGGAAACCCATTTTTAAAGTACCTTAAATTGAACACAAAATGTCCAAAATGTCACAGACCAGGGTACAAAACTTCAGAGAGAGAAATGTTCATCATACCGTATCAAGATTGCTTTTCTAATGCTGGATTTCAAATTCTTTTGATATGCAATTTTTTTTATAAAAAAAGTAGAAAGTGGGAAGTACGTAGTTACTTTTGAAATGAGGATGGTGAGGATGAGATCTCGATTAGGAAGAATTGTCCATTTGCAGTGGCTAATAAATCTTACAGTTCTGAAACGTCCTTTGGGGGCAGGCAGGGACAAACCCAAAAGTTAGCTCTTCCCAGATAAGCGCAGGACCTGGTGAAGAATGGCTCTTTAAAAAACCCACCAGCAGCAGCAACAATAGTGTGCTTCGTCCTTGAGCAATCAGCCTGTGCTGGCTGATCATTACAGAGCGGCCACATGATGCAGAAGAAGCTATAGAGCGTCTTCATTTATAGAGGGAGGTTCTCCAAAGAGATGTCTTGCCTCACCAAGACAGTGTATGCTAATTATACATGGCTTGCGCAATACCTGCATAAAGTTCAAGTGAGCAAGTGCAGCCCCAGACAGGACAATATTTCAGAAATTCCCAGGCTGATCAATTCAATCTGATAACCTTCTCTAAGAGCGTTGTAAATGCCTGACGCATGACGTGGCACTCGTGAGTCTCTTTTGTGCCACTGGTGCACAAACTGATAAGGGGCAAGAAGTTTTTGTTTAAATCAAGTGTGCCTTCCAGACAGTGTCAAAATTACAAATACAAGAAAGGCGAAACAGGTTAAGTGGTAGCAGACCACACTGCCAGCTATAACTCTCTGTGTTTTCTGGAAACAATTGAATACATTTTTACATTTTGCTTGTTTGTTTCAAGAAACTTGTCCAACTGAATCAAAACATCTATGTTTTTGGTGTTCATTTTGTATTGCTTTTTAAACTACCTTCAGTAAAAAAATTTCTCCCAGTTGGTTTACTGTTTTAAAAACTCTGTGTGTGTGTGTGTGTGTGTGTGTGTGCATTGCTGTGACACAAAGCAATTCATAAATTATAATAATAATGACAACAATGAAGGTCTACAGAAGTACCAGGAGAGTCGCAGAGGGGAGAGACTTCCCCTTTCTCTTCTGTCAATTGACACATGACCACCTGGTCATCTCTGGGCCAAGGCAAGAGGTGACTGAGAATAATAGGGCAGGAGGCCAACAGTAGGTGGCACTAGAGTCAATGACAGCAGAAGGCATCCTCTGGTTGTAAGAAAGGAGCCAGGCAGGAGCTAGTTGAGGGCAGCGCCACATTTGCCAAAGTAGACCAACCCCACCAGTGGCCAAGGCTAAAAAAACCTGTCCCACAAAAAAAATTCCTTCCAGTAGCACCTTAAAGACCAACTAAGTTAGTTCTTGGTATGAGCTTTCGTGTGCATGCACACTTCTTCAGATACTTCTTCAGATATGGTATCTGAAGAAGTGTGCATGCACACGAAAGCTCATACCAAGAACTAACTTAGTTGGTCTTTAAGGTGCTACTGGAAGGAATTTTTTTTGTTTTGACTATGGCAGACCAACACGGCTACCTATCTGTAACTGTGCCACAAAGTTACAGATATACTGGAATCTGCTAGTTGTTGTGACCCCCCCCCCAAAAAAAGAGGATGAGTATGGCATGTAGAACAGTTTGAACAGGACTCAACTGCTGAAGATCTAAAGGTCTTTGGTCCTGAGCAGTGCCTGGAAGTGAGGACACCGGGGTGCTTGATTAAAGCCACTATGAATTCCATAGGGAAAGAATGGATAAAAACTTGCAGTCCTAGCCCCACTTGCCTGGGGAGTAAGCCCTGTTGAATTCAATGGGCCTGACTTCTGAGCAGACATAGTTAGGACTGAAGCCTAAGTAAAGAGCTGGGACCCAGCTCAATCCACAAAACTCTGGAGGAATTTCCAAAGTTGCAGACAGCCCCAGGATATAGGCTTGAGCATGACCTACAGCTAACCTGTCATTTTTGGCTGTATATGCTGCTGCAGAGATGCAGCGTCAAAGGTGGCAAGTGCTTAAGATTCACTTTGTACTTCTTTCAGCAGCAGCAGCATCCACTGAAACATCCTGGTACGGCTAACACGGCTCCTTGTGCAGCAGTTTGCGCCATCAAGTCCAACGATCTGGACTGTCGATCCCTAAGAATCTTGGGCGCCTGTGTGTGGGACAAGGGAGGTTGGCTCATCCATGTGAAACTCTAGGACTGAATGAGAGTCGTGAGTTCCACTTTGTGCTTCAGCCGGAGAGAGTGAGGGAGTCTATTACAGCACAGCTAAAACGCTAAATATAACTCAGGCTGTTAAGGGTGCCTATCTTTAGCACTGTGTAGACCACAACTCCAGTCCCTGGCATGGTGACCGGTGTCCTGTCGATACCAACAGGAAGTGGGATAGCTGAGCAACTGATCTGGATCTGCAGTGGGTCAGCGGCAGGTCAAAGCACAAGGATTCCTGAGCTTTGCTCAGATCAAGAGAAAGACCTATGGGTAAGATCTACTACACTGCAGGATATTTGTATTTCTTTCCCAGCTTGGGCCCACATACCTGGGAAACACTGGTTTAAACAATCTACCGTTATTTCATGGGAGCATCTATTTGTTGGCTAGGAAGAGCAGCCTCAGGCAAATTCTGCAGAGAAATTTCTTTTAGCTACATAGTCTGAATTGCAGAAGTCAAAGTTTCAGCTTGCAGCACTTCCCTGTTTTTGCAGTAGAATGTGAACATCTTCCATCCAGAATTTGGAGGGTGGGGAGACAAAATCTAAGTGCAATAAATGGAACCTCAAATGTTTATCTTCTCTCGCATCGTCCATAAAAATGGCACCCCTTCGTATCTCTGGGAGCTTACAGATATTGTGTCCTGGCTAAAACTGATAAAGCAAAGTGTATGGTGGTAGCATGTAAATGGACGTTGCCGAATCTTGATGGTGGATCTCTCAAGAGAGAGAGATCACTGCTTACACATTTGGCCTGACTCAGCCAGCTGTCTATTAGTAACCCAAATGACTGGCTGCTAACAGCCTACACTAAGGGAACTAGTGATGGGCTGGTGATAGACCATTTACAGCCACCTCAGTTAAACCCTGGGGAGAGAGAAAATAT